TATCCAACTACCCCGCCAGTCAGCACCGAAAGGTTTGTTAATTCCCGATATTCCCCTTTACTTTTCTGAAGTTTTCTGTCGTAAGAACCTTCACATAAAAATAACCAACATAACAAATAAAGAATCAGCAAAATTGGTCCAGTCGTTATTGAGTTATGCGCTTACCAACACATTTCGCGATTCATTTTTATATTAGTAGGATAAATGAAAAAAAATTGGGTCTATTTTTTCCATCATCTATGTACTTACGTTCATTTAAAAAGATTGATTCAACTCTATATAATTTTTAATAAGTTCGTGTGGTACCACTTGTGCGGGTACATTGCTCTAATACAAATATTAGCATTTGATAAGGATGATATCATTATCAGTTTGTTGACAATATGTCTCACAAACTTTTTTTTAGATATGGATTGTTTTATCGGAAATAGGGATAAGCCACGTGTGTAATGCATTTTATTACCGCTGTTATTAAGGGTGGATATTGTTCCAATGACTTCTCCTGTCCTGATGGCGGCAAGATGTCTTGTTTTTGTGAGAGGAAAATCATCAATGAAAGAGCAGACGGCTTCCCAGTTAGCTTCGATTAGGCCGGGCGCGAGAGGTTGCCGCCGCCGATAACTTCCCTGAGGACAAGGCGGTGCTCACCCCAAGTAGGGACACCGCCACCGTATGCTCCACCGTGTCCTCTAGGTGGTCATTAAAATGACGACACTCAGGCGTTTCCTCCCGCTGGATAAGAAACAGTAATCTGCTGAAGCTGCCATGCCCAATTAAGAACCTGCGTTAGGCGGAAGTTGAGGACGCCGTGGCTTCTCTCAAGCTTCTTCTCAAAGAGGGGTCTTGCCGCTGCTATACCTAACAGCGTGTCCGATCTTGCGAGTGAGTGTAAAGTGTAAGTAGGTATTCTTAAAATGTAGTATTTAGTGTGGGAGAGTTACCGAAGGCCCAATCCTTCCCCTCCTCAAATTCCTCCCCAATTCCTAAATCTCCCAAATCCCTAATCCCTAAAAGGTCGGAAACGCACTCGTAACTCTTCCGTTGTTGCGGATGTCCATGGGAGGCGCAAAAAAATAAAAAGAAAAAAAAATAGTTGTATATACCTAATTATGTGTGTTAAAGGCATTATGTACATGATGTAGGTTTTAACCCAGCTTTACATTTATGAGTTCAGGAAAAATAAAATTTCTATTCAAAAAGGAAACAATGATATTTTCGTTCCGTTTCCTTTCGTATCATTTAAATTAATTTTATTTTTCCAAATTATTTTAATGCAGTTTTTATTGTTCAAGCGATTTTAATTATCACTCTAGGGGTAGGACAAACAAGACTACGTGAATTGAAAACCGATTTCACGTTCAGCAATTCGGTTCTGTCACTGACTTTTGCACAGCATATTCATTTTTTAAACAAGAAATATGAGCATTGATTTTGTTATTTATTTATATATTTTATATATTAATTGTATGCCTAAATATTATTATGCTAATAGTCATTAGGACTACTAACGTTACGCTAAAAGTCTTTAGGCCTACTAACGTTATGCGAATAAAATGTATTACAAAACAAAATAATCTTTAACATGATTATGCCAATATAAAATGTATGCCTGAAAAATTATGCCAAAGTATTATTATACCAAAACCAATTGTGCCAAAATCGTTATGCCGAAGTATAATAGGACAAAAAACATTATACGAAAAGAAGGGATCCCGAAATAATGTTATTAAATATCATGTCAAAGGTACCTTCTCTATTTGTTATTTTATTTTCCTTATCATTGAAGTAGCTTTTATTAACAATGTTTTATCAATCCGTGGTCAGAGGATAATTAAACAATGATTAAGAAACACGTTTTATGTCACACTCGTTTCTTCCAACGGCTTCATCCGCACCATTGTAAAAGGTAGCCCAAAATCTATCTCTTTGCCAAATTTCATTCAGTTCCGTTCAGTAGTTTTAAACATTTATCCATGCTTAAAAACTTTCGTGTTTATAATATTAGCAGGATAGTCCATGATCTGTATTAAATCTGTACCCTCTCGGCGAATATTTTTAAACATTCCAAATTCAAATCAAATCAAATCGTTCATTTTTCAAATAATATGGGTATACAATAAGATGTTAAAATTATACTACCTTCCGGCATGCAGGTACATACAAACAATCTAGAATTTAAGGAAACTAACAAATTATTTAAATATAAACGAAAAGAAATAACATTATTATAGATTATCGTCCATGACCATGGTAAGCTTGAAGTACAGTGCAATTAATTATTTACTTTTTTTGCTAGGTTATAAAGTACGCATGATGCCCTGCTTAACCTTTTACATAAATCCTCAGAATGCGGACTCCAAGTCAGTTTGTTATCAATTAGAATGCCAAGGAATTTAGTTATATTTGTCGAATCTACTTGTTGTCCCTCATATACTACGTCGTCATTTTCAGCTCCTACACGCTATTGAAAATGCATTACTTTAGTTTTTTGGATATTTAGAACTAAATTACTCCTATCTAACCATTTTATTATTAATTTTGGTTTTGGTTATTTAATTAAGTTTATTTTGGCATTTTACTATTGCTGTGCTGTCGTCCGCGAATAATACTATACATTGGTTAATTTGGCGAGGCAAGTCATTAATGTATAAAAGAAATAGTAAGGGACCAAGCACGCTCCCTTGGGGTACGCCGTATTTAACTATTCTGTAACTAGATAAGTATTTAAGCTCTTGTTTAGATGATACACATGCCCTTGATAATATTAGTAAGGTATGATTCTATTAAATTCAGAACGTTTCCTTTTATTTATATCAACCTTATTATTTATTTATAATATAAATATTATTTTTAAATTAAATGTTTACGTGTCTATGATTGGTATTGTCCTAAGCATTCAGATATATAAATAAAAACAAAAACGATAGAAACAATAAAAGTTATTGATGGTCGTTGTGCATTCATAACTCAGTTTGTCCACAACAACTCAAACAGCCCTTGGAAATATCCACTGGGCAATGGAGTCTGTTATAATCTTCACTTCGATTTCATAGGTAATTCACACAAATAAAGCCTGGTGTGGGAGCTAGTATTTTTTTGTCATATGCCAATATGATTTGCTGGTCGTTTGGGAGTAAGGTATATGAGAATAGGGTAGGACCTCCAGTGACCTCACTTACAATGAATGCCTGATGGATAACGAGCAATCAAAACGTGGAACACTAAAATAAATAATAAGGAAGTTTTAACTTACTAAGTAAGATGAAAATCTGAATACCACCATATTCACTCGAGGAAAAGCCATTTTCTTTATGTGATAGGTCAGCAAACGAGCGAACGGATAACCTGATGGTAAGCAATCAGCGCCGCCCATGGACACCCGATTTACGAGTGCGTTGCCGACCTTTTGGGGATAAGGGATTTGGAGATTATGGGAATGAGGAGGGATTGGGAAAAAAAATTGGGGGAGGGAAAGGATTGGGCCTCCGGTAACCTCACTCACACGGCGAAATACAAGGCGTGGTTGTATCACGCCGGTTTTCTATGAGGCCGTGGCGTCACTCCGGTCGGCTCTCCCACACTTGTGATTGGTTTGCGAGGGATCCTAGATGGAACATAGATTCTAAGCAAGGCGAGTAATCTTGGATAATTTTGGTGTTGAAGGATCTTGGAGGCAAACATTGCCTTATTAATCTTGGTGCAATGTTCCAAAATTTCCGTATTTATTAAAACCCTTTAAGCGACTCTTGTAAGGGCAACCATATTATGTGTATGTTTAGAATTTAAATAAACTATGTTTATCGTAAGTCGAATCGACTATGTTTTAAATCTTATATGACGTTGATTTGGTTTAAAACGTGCACAAAACACAAAACAAAGTTTCTAAAATCAAGTGCAGAGTTAGGGAATATTTTCATTTAAAAGGAAAAATAACAAACAATATTCTCTAGTCTACACGTCTACGCGCCCGCTTCTCATGCATGAGGGTATGGGTTCGAAACCTGGCATCATCCAATTTCTTTGACTTTTTCCGAGTTATATTTACTATCTATGATTATTTAGACACCACTGATAAACGGTGAAGAAAAACATCGTGAAGAAACCTGGACTTACAATTTCTAATTATAAGTTTGAAATCGCCAATCCACCTTGAGCAAGCGTGGTGATTAATGCTTAAACCTTCTCCTTGTAAGAAGAGACCTTTGCTCAGCAGTAAGCACTTATAGGCTGATGATGTTGTATTACTAGCGGGGGTTGCAAAAACAATTTATTATAATGTACTGTGACCAGATCAGGAGAAAGAATGGAGTGATTTTTAGTCAATAAGAATTAATTAACAAGATACTCCATCTCGCTCCCTCCCAGGTCGAGGTGATCATTATGAGACCTGCACTTTGAATTGATTCGATATTTAACTTCTATTAAGTAAGTATATATTCATAAGGGTTTGTTTTGCCACTATTTGGTTAACCTAAGTGACACTAGAATAACCTAGTGTAGGACTAGGATTTTCTTTTGTGACGTGATTGCGTTTACAAACATAAAAAGTAACATACAAATCTCACAGGCAGACCCGGAGAAATAATGACGTGTAGTAGTACACAAAGTAAAATTCGTTTAGTAATTTTATTGTAATGTCAATAATTATACTTTTCAACGAATTTTGTATTAACTTCTTAATTTCTATTATATATGACAAATGTCACGATGGTCACGACCCTCAGCAGCAGCAGAAAATGCGAGGAGAAGGATATCGTAAAATCCATTAGTTAAAGTTAAGTATTTAGTTTTGACCAAGGAAACTAGCCTTAATTACGTATATACACACATAGCTCTGCACTCACTCACTCACTGCAGGTTCTAGCCAATACCATTTCTTGAAGTTAGATACTATAAACAATTTTCCTCACAATTATTGTTAACGACAAAATTGTTTTATTCCAAAGCTGTAGATAACTAATTCTTCGGCGGGAACGTGTTATACGGGCAACAAGTCGCCACGCCAGTGTGCAGTAGGACCGCCCGCGAGACAGTCGCTCCCTAGTGACTTTTACGAATAAATAATTCCAATATAAATTTTTATTTTCATAAATTGAAATAAATAATCAGTGTTTGTTTTACGAGCAACCACAAAAACGTGAGTACCAGTGTCGTTTTTCATTTTTTTTTTTCAATTTATTAACAACTTTTTTTTACTTTCAGTGTGAACTTTTTTCCTTTTAATTTTCTTTTTCTTCTACTCGTATTATAAAGCAGTGTAGGTAGTAATTATATTGTGTGTAATTCGACTAGTGAACGATCAAACCACGCCTGTGTCTTTTGTATGAAGAATGGCGGTTACCCGCCATTTTGAGACGCTTTTTAAATAAATTCTTCGTGGTTTTATATGTTTGTAACTCTTTAAAATTATATTTATTATTTAATCCAACTGTAGAATTTCAAATATAAAAAAATGATTATAAGAAATAAATAACAATACTTTTAAGTAATCCTGTTGAACGATATTATCTATTAATTATCTATTATTTTTGCGACTGCGTACATCTACCTTCAAATTAAGAATACAAATTTAGATTGTATTCTGACAATAAAACAATTGAAGTTGATAGTATAATAAAATTCACGTCTTTTCAGCCTTAACAATTAATTCATTTTGTATTTATTTCAACTATTAAGTACTTACTATTCTTTGACACCAAACTTTTAATAAACCAAGTAAGTTTTGCTTTGTCTACCGCCTTTGTAATTATGTTAGTCCATCTTAAATTGCCCAACCCAGCTATTGGCGCCATTTTCTTTTAATAATCGAGCACCAGTTCGAAATTAGTAGCGCTATAAACACAAAAAAGTGTTTATTTTTGTTTTATGTTTTTCACGCACAGTTACGCGTGTTTCTATTAGCACAGTGTTCTGTTTCGCGCACACGTGTAGACAAAAATACTCTGTTCTTTTTGTTTGTTTTTTAAGGAACATATTTTTTATAACCTGTACGTTACATTAGAATTACAGGTCGTGATAAATATGTAGTTTTATTTACATACTAGATTTTGCCCCGACTACGTACGCATGGAATAGTGATTAAAAAAAAAACACATTATAATACTCCTTTATTTTGACGAATTCATGTCCATATAAAGACTGAAAAAGAATGTGATTATTAAAAAATCGATTTAAGTATAACACTTAAACACAGCCATCACGGTTTAATTTAATATTTCATTAGTCAACTCGTTCTGGACCCTGATAAACGGGTTTACTACAATACACATAAAATTCTTGACTGTTTTCTCTTAATTGGTTAATAATTATTTCGCTTATTTATTTTATTCTAATATTAATAAAGTTTTAGGCACAAATGTATTAGATCGTTCCACGGCCTCACAGAAAACCAGCGTGAAATAACTAAAAAGTTGTTTCTCAGTGTGAGTGATACAATCTGAAGCCCAAGACCTCCCCGCCTCCCTATCCATAAATCTCCAAAACCCTTATCCCCAAAGACCGGCAATGCACTCTTTTGTACTTTTGTTCTCGGGTGGCGATGATTGCTTACAAAATTCATAAAAAAACAAAAGCCGAATTGTGTTTTGCAAAAGCCATATTAAACTTTCAATGATTTTATGAATAAATGATTACACTCATTGATAAAAATGTATAATCGTACTACTAAAATTTAAATATAGACAAACCAGAATGTTACTCATAAATTATTATCTTAACCAGTAAGATAATACACTTAATAAAGGAAATGAGTATCTATTGATAAATGATTCAGTTAATGATAATGTTGATACTTTAATAATACAGAAAGGAATGACTACAAAACACGCTTAAATGGAGATAAGGTCTTTTGTCATAACAGCCTTATTCGAAGAGAAAATCATCAAGTGTCTTCTCTCGCCTACGGTGTAGCGAGAAGAAGTGTCAGAGTCTGACAAACTAAAAACACCCCGCCCCTTTTCCTGCTCCAAGCCCAAGACCTTATTGCTTTTACCCCGCAACGCCGGCTGAACATCAGCCTTAAAGGGCCCCCGTGTGTGGTGGTCTATTGGCTCTTTGATCGAGACACTGTAGTTTGCTTCTTATCTTTAATCTTTGTTTGACGTTCGAAAGTGCCTGTATTGGTCTAATTTCACAAGAAGGCAGAAAAGATATTTTATTTTATTTTATAGATAAATTATTTCTTATGTATTTTTTTTAGGATTAAGGTTAATATTTTAAAGTTAGTTAACCAGATAAACTAAATAAATTAAATACCAAAGTGTAGTGAATTGTGTCTAGAATTTTAATAAGTTCGCCCAGTGTGCGGCGCGGGAGTTGTCATTGTTTCGCAGCACGTGTCTATGCTCGGTCAAGGTTATTTAAAAAAAACGGGCAACGTAGGCGTTTAACTATGAGGTACCGAAACTTATCTAAGCTATGCTTTTTGAATACAATTGATAAATAAAACACAGTCTGAGAAAATCCCTAAGTATATATATATTTTTGTAAAGATTTTTTTACGTTTTCTTTGTATATTACTGTTAAGCTACTAAAATTATAAATGTGGATGTTTGTAAGAATGAACGGATGTCTGTTTGTTATTCCTTCACGAATAAATGGCTTGGGCCTGGTATGGTAACGTTATAATTTTTTTTTTTAAAAAGTGATCGTTTGTCTTTGATCTTGACGTAACCTACTAAGACATGGCCTTATTTCAGACCTCTTTTGTGTATGTGTACATAGATAGTTGATGATATCTATATTTTTTTAAGATCTCCTTTGAGTTCTTTAGTTATTGAGTTTTTGTCATGCCTAAATCTGTTCGTAGAAGTATCAGAACAGTTTAGGTAGGTAAATAATAATAGTATTTCTTTATAAAACTTAATTCACTTTTATTATTTTTAATAGTAGGGGCCCTCGTCTGCCCACTATGGGTGTCCATCCATTTCGGTGTCAGTTTTTGTTAGCGAACCGCCACGGCATCGAAAGAGACGTAAATATGTCCCATCTTCTTTTATTAAATTAAATTTTACAAACAGCCTGAAAAGTATGTTAGGATATCGTTCTAGTCGTTTACTTGTGACACCATGGCGAAGAGAATGGTTTATATCAAAAACTTATATATACCTATATAATATTACTAGCGGTCCGCTCCCGCTTTGCACGGGTCCAACTATCTCGCTATCAAAGTGTCACTTTTTCCTAATCTTCCCCTCTACTTTTCTAATATTGTCTGTGATAAGAACCTTCTCCTGACAATAACAAACACAACAAAAAAGAATTAGCAAAATTGGTCCAGCCGTTTTTAAGTTATGCGCTTACCAACACATTTTGCGATCCATTTTTATATATAAGAAGAAGATAAAGCTGGAGTTTGTTTGTTTGTTAGAACACGCTCATCTCCAGAACTACTAGTTCAAATTGAATAATTCTTTATGTGTTTGTTAGTACATTTATTGAGGAAGGATTTAGGCTATAAAATATCACGCTACGATTTGTAGGAGGACATAACTTTGATTCGGAAAACAGCAAGCTTAGATGCCCTATAGTTATCTATAGTGCATCTAAGCTTGCTGTTTATAAACCTTATAAATATTTGTTTAGGTGGTTTGTACATACATAACATACATATACATAAGATATAGGTACACAAAGAATCGTTAGACTAAGTTTATGTTAGTGTATCAATATTTGACGTGTAAATAAAGATTTCCTGACGTCATATAGGACGTGCTCGCAGCCTATCATGATAATATATACATTGCAAAAATAACTTTAGATCATCAATATAATAAATAGTAATAATAAGTCCGAAAGCCAAAGCAGCTCGTGGCGAGCTGTTGGGTAGTAGCGACCCCACGGACCTGACTCCCGGGAGGTGTCTTGTTCTTCATCTCCGGTTAGTCCTCGTGACTAGTTGAAGTGAACACTGATGAGGAACAAGCCCTTCTACTTCTACCTCATTCTTGCCTTAATTGGCTGGCTTGAGTGGAGATTCGCTAGAGTAGGAGTTGAAGGAGACTCGGGGGAAGGATGTATCTCAGTAAGATGCTGGTCGGGGTCTTGACCGTACTTCCGGGATTGCTCTGATAGCCCTGGGATGCCTCTCCTTCCTCAAGCAGCTCAACGTACGTTGCCTCCGTGTCGCTACATGCTAGCGGCCATTTCCGGGGGCCCATTGATTGAGGTTACCGGTCACCCCCTGCCTGTTTATCCGTATGTATCAATATTGGTCAGTGGTAAGGGCCATAGTATTTCATAATTATCATTTACCAGTCCATAGCCACGCTTCAGACTTATGATTAGAAATTATAATGAACTTTATGTAATTTAAAATAATAATTAAAGTGGGTTAGAATAGAAATTTCATTATGTTTTACAAATTAATTGTAAGGTAGAGGGTTGGTTTTCCCTTTGGAGATAAATAGGTGTGACACCATAAATATGTGTTATCTATACCAACTAATCTATAATAGTATATAATTATATTGTCAAATATAAAAATGAATTACTGTTACTTAGTAAGAGTGATACCACGGCTTTAGAGAAAACCGGCGTCAAACAACCACAGCATTGTGCTTCTCCAAATCATACCCCTCCCCAAGCCCCGAATCTCAAATCCCTAATCCCCAAAAGGTCGGTAATGCACTCATAACTCCTCCGTTGTTACGGATGTCCATGGGCGGCGCTGATTGCTTGCCATCAGGTAATCCGTCTGCTCGTTTGTCGACCTATCAAATAAAAACACTACCTAGGTACTTCGTTCTTATCAAATTATTCGATGCTTACTGTTGTATTAAACCTATTTGCGTAATTCTTAAGGAAGGATGTTTATAAATTAATTGTAGAAATCTTCAGTTATCCGTATGGGGGTAAAACCAAAGACAAAATAGTTATACATACTAATCAAATAGTGTAGTGTATTATTACCATCTTAGTAAATTATTATCCTTCCGCGTTTGCAATAATATACAGCTGCGCAGGCCTTGTGCAGGAGAAGGAAGCCAAGTTTCGGCACGAATGGGTCGGTTTGACCGGAATGATACCACTGTCTCACAGACAACCAGCGTGAAACAACCACAGCGTTGTGTTTCGCCGTGTGAGTGAGGTTATTGAAAGGCCAATTCGTCCCCCACACTAAACCCTTATCTCCGAAAG